GCCAAAGTTGCACATGAGCAGGGGAAGGAAACGGCTGGTTTCAGAATATAGGCTGCAAAAGAAAAGCTGAGAAGTTTTGGTTCTGTGATGTGCTGTACTGTGATTACGTGTTAAGTCTGAAAATCTGGCTTACGCATTTAAATAGCCTGCTCAGGTCAACAGTCAGGGTACATTTCTTGAATTTTAGCCAGATCAAAAGTATCAGTGACGAAGCAGCTTTATGGGTGAATATTCTGGGTAATCAATAATGCATTTTCCACTGAATTCACTTTGCTCGTCCACTTAATTCCGGTTTTGAGTGTGTAGTTGGAAATGCTTTTCTCTTCACACACTTTCATCGCTGTGCCACTGATGTTTGCTGTGTTCAAGGTGCAGAAAGGGTGTTGCCCCCTTTCTGAGAGAATTCAGTCAATTTTCTTCATGGTTGATTATACCTCCAAATTTTTTTTAAGCGCCGTTAAGGTCAGTGAACACCTGGGGCCACATCCAAGGCACATGTACATCGAACAGGCGGATCGGTGCTGAATCATTGACAGAGTGATTCGCAACAGATATCTATTCGTTAGTTCCAGAATTAGCTTCCTGTAGAAATTTACTTGTATTTCCGAGAGATCTAAAAATCCGTCAGGATGGAAATGCTATATTTCAGCGTTATCAATTATAAATATATTGTTCGGCTCTAAAAGATATTATCCCACCCGGGATGGTATCATTGACGTGGAAGTTGTTAACCTCAGCCAGTTTTGTTCTTTTGGCGAATAGATAAGCAAGAGGATCGAAGAGACCGTTCGCTGTAGGGCGTCAGATAAGGCGCTCCTCAACCATCGCCGTTATTGGGCATTTTGGAAAATCACGTCACAGACTGGATCTGTGCAGTTTCTAGAGATGGGAACAACCTTCAATTCTTATTCCGAACAAACACAGTTTGGTATCAACTTACCCGGAACGTAACCTAAAGATGAAGCAAAATTGTCGGCATCATCGTCTTTTCATCTTCAAGAGAGCAAAATTTTCATAAGTCGATAATTTTTTTATGAAATTTTTCATCTCTATAATTTCACATTTCGTATTTGTGCACTTTAAACGATGAAATCACTTTCCATGGAGATTATTTTTGTCCAGTGGGTAAAAAAAGCGCGCGGGAATTGGGGACACAATTATCCCCAAACCTTC